AGGAAAGAGCTAGTAAGGGGGCCGGTTTCACCAGGAATGTGCGTTTCTAAACTGAAGTTTGCAAACCACTCACTGAATATTTCACAGATGGTGGCAGGCACATTGTAGATAACTTTGTCATGAAGTAAATAGGGGATGTCCCTAGTCGACTGCATTCGTTTTTTAAGAAGTGTTGTTAAGTTATAAACTTTGGAGGTGCTTTCAAGTGCCCTTAATTCTTCGTCGAGGTCCTTTTGAGAGCGTTGGCGCTTGATATATTCAAGAGACTCATGGATTGAGTGCAGTAGTGATATATCCTTAGTGGAATAGTACTGTTTCTTCAACTTCCTTAACTTATTGCGGCATGCCCTCGGAATATGTTCAGCTTGGTGTCTACTTAATTTCACTACCTTCTTAGAAGCAACAGTATCTAGACAAAGGATAACATTCCTGTAAAATAGGGACACTACAGCTTCCAGGGAGTCAGTGGTAATATATTCATCACAGTGACAGAGTCGAATGAGTTCTTGGACTAATCCCCGGTCTGTATGTTTGTAACTACGACAAATCAAGCTCCCTGAATCCTGTTTGTTTCCCGTATTTAGTGGTGAGAAAGGCAGAGAGCAGAGTACCATTCTATGGTCACTACTGGAAAATCTGTTGCCAACATAATTGGAGACTGGGATTGTGTCATGACAGAACACAAGGTCCAACATGTTGTCGCCACGAGTAGGTGTCTGGACGTGTTGCTGCCATCCATAACAATCGATAGTGGCAAGTAATTCGTCGAAGCGTTGAGGGCCGGAACTACTTAACCAATTGACTTCTGGATGATTGAAGTCCCCTGCGATTATTTTGTAATTAGTACTAAACGATGAGGCGTGTGCGAATGATTTAGCTAATAACGCATCAGTTTCTTTAGTTGAACTTGGTGCTCGATAAACACAGCCTATGAGAAGCTTGTACTTATCTCCTTGTAAGACGACCCAGAGTGAATCAGGTACCGCATTCAGTATTTCATCTTCCATCTTACTGGCTACGAATTAGTTATGTATATATATGGGACATCCTCCACCACGCTTGCAGTCTCTATTTGCACGGTGTACAGTATGATTATCTATGCCTATATGCACATCAAGTGTAGTGGATGAGCACAGTCACCACAGCTAATATATATATATTTTTCCTATCAATATAGGAAAAATAGGCTTGGCGATAAATAATAATGTCCTCAGTTCAGATATCTTATTGATTAAGGATCGTGCATTAATTAGCAATATCGTGAATAAGTCACGGGATACTACAAACTGGCTTAAGATATCACCATAACCTAACTCTGTTTGTGCGTGAACAACGCAAGAGTTTATGAATGATACGGGGGTCGGACTGCGTGTCTGTACATCGGGGTTAGAGTGCAGTGAGGTGGTCCTAGGTGCCATGGGTCGTACCAGTGATTCGGGACACTTGGAAAATTTACCATTTGTTGCTGGATATAAGGATAGTAGATGTTGGGCCTGGGTTGACGGTTAGAAAGCATAGCATCAAATGGTCTACCCATCCACGTGCTATCCATCATACCGGTGCACACTTTCGTGTTGGTTTTATAACTTAAAGGAAATTGAGAGGGAAGGTGCTTTGGTTGCAAGACTTTGGGGGTTTTGGGGCCTGACTTTCTATAAGGTGGAGCATACTGACTGCTTGGCTGCCGTAGTGATGAAGCGTATATTTTCTTCTTATCAGGCTATAGTTTACCATATGTCAGACTCAATGGCTCTAAAGGCAATTAGAAACAAGATCCCGAATTGTTGCGGCATGTCTAGTGCGCCAAGTGAATGCAAGCGATTTCATAAAACAGTCGACTCACTCTAATTGTCCCATCATTTTTAGGTTCGGTAATTCTCTCGTTGCCAGTAAGTTCACCAAATTTCAAGATCATTTAAGACCAAATATCAGTTATATGTCTGTAACCATAGCTCAGGGCAAATAATGTGTCGACGTGGAATAAAGCACGGTAATAATTTGGTCACCACCTTTGGCTTAAATTTACCGGAAGTGCATCGTTCACGGCAACAGTCGCCTAGCACTGACAGTAGCATCCAGGGAACTAAACAATAGCCGCGCCTGCCAATAGAACTGGGAACCGATTTAGATATCAGTATCCCTGGAAATAAAGCCTCACTGAAAGGTATCAAAATAGTTAATACTGCTGCAAGTTGTCCTAAGAAATTTTCACCTAAACGTAGTAACCTCACTACGGGGAACAAATCCCACAGGATTGAGCCTGATGATGTGGAGGAATACTTTGTATTCAGTAAGCCTACTGAAAGTAAACGTGTCAAAAACCCACGTCAGATATTAAGAAACCCCTTCAAGACACATCTATGGGTGGTGGTTTTCAGCATACTTCACCTTCCAGATACTTAGGTATCAACCAAAAGTTTTCGACCGAAGTACCTATCCCCACACTATCGATTTAGTCATAAAAAACAACACGAAGATATATAGCGGTATGACGAATAGCAGATTGATGGGTAGACCTTATGATGCTATACCTTGCAATCCACGACCCAGCCCCAACCACTACTACTCGTATATCCAGAAACACAGTAAATTTTCCAAGTGTCCCGAATCACTGGTACGACCCATGGCACCCAGAACCAACTCGTCGCACTCTATTCCCGATGTATGGACACCCAGTTCTTCTCCTTTATCGTTCATAAACTCTTCCGATGCTGATGCATAAATAGAGTTAGGTTATGGTGACATTTCAAGCCAGTTTGTAGTGTCCCGTGACTTATTCATGATATTACCAATCAATGCACGTTCCTTGTTAAGATATCTGAACTGAGGACATTATTATTAATCGCCAAGCCTACTTTAGCTGTGGTGACTGAATCACAGTGCTCATCCACTACACTTGATGTGCATATAGGCATAGATAATCACACTGTACACCGTGCAAATAGAGACTGCAAGCGTGGTGGAGGATGTCCCATATATATACATAACTAATTCGTAGCCAGTAAGATGGAAGATGAAATACTGAATGCGGTACCTGATTCACTCTGGGTCGTCTTACAATAATAATAATAATTTTTATTTCTGGAACAGAAACCAGCCATTTTTACAGGCATGAACAAATGTACACTAATTAGCACTTATAGAATATATATGATTTGTTAATCTAGAAATAGATTGAATACTGGTAAATTTGAGAGAAATATTTAAAAAGAAATGTACAAATAAGGCAATAGGTAATTTTCGAGATCTGCTTTCAACTGAATAATTCATGAGAAATAGCATCAAATCAAAACTGTAATTGAAAAAAATACGGTATGTCAATTTCACGCGGGAATTATAAACGATTACGTTAATTGTGGAAGTTAAGTAGCATTTTTGTACAGGTGCTGGCGTGAAATATAAGAGATGCGGAATGAACAGTAATTGTAAGTAAATGATTCATAGAGTGTTTGAAAGTCCATAAAACTTCAAATTCACCGGTAAGTGCACCATAATTGTGACATTTCCAGTTGTATATGAGACCAACTTTGAACTTGTCGGCAGATTTCATGATAGAGGTGGTTCCGTTATTCACCATGTGGGCTAGCAATATTCCGAGGATAGCGGCACTGTTTCAGTACCTTCGTTTAAGGCAGTACCTTTGAAAAGAGAAGAAGACACAAGGAAACCGACAGAGAGGTGCAGAAGTATATAATAGGTGTTAATAATTCAAAACATATGTAAAAAACATGGGTTCATCATTTTTTGTTTTTTCT